TACGTGCAGGCACACCATTTCTCTCCACTAATACCAGCAGCGAATATTTTAGCAGCTGATTGTCACGTCATTAGTCTTGAACTGACTTGTTTGGTGTGTGCAACAGGAAATATTTAGCTTTTGAAGAACAAGAAAAATGGGTTTATTTACATTATGCTTATTAATTTGTGCAGTAATTCAGTGTCTGGTAAGTTAATGTTCAAGGAAAAATATTAATTTTATTAACATGTTCTATTATTTTATGTTAACGATTACTCATTTGTTTCTGCCTTTTGTATTCAGCATGTCTCTATAGAAATAAATCTACGTTTCTATGGAAAATTGAAGCTTTTGTTTTTTTGTGGCCCACAGAAACTTACACCTTGTTTATGTGACCCATGTGAGTCTTTGAGTTTGACAGGCTTGCCCTACGGAGTTTCCAGGAGGAATCTGGGAAGCCATGTAGAGTCAGTGCCAGGCACGGGGCTGGCGCAGGTGCCCATTCCTGGAGACCCTTACAGGGAGGATGCATGGCTGGGTTTCCCTTTGAATTCTTCCTCCTAAATTGCCCCAGGCCCAGCAAGCTCCTCTGGGGGGGGGGGGGGAGAGGCCCCCAGGGCTTCTGGGTAAAGGTTAGAAGTTGCTTAGCTTTGCCTTGGTTGCAGAGGGGTGTTTCTTTTTTACAGACAGTGGATGGAGGCCAGGTGTGCCCAGACTTCGTCAGCTCATGGGTCTTACAACCCCAAGGATGCCCAGAGTGGAGAATGGTAATAAAAGATAACCTTTGTTTCATAGGCATCTCATTTATCTTCATTGCAACTCTATAAGGAAGATTAAAGGAAGATTGAAATCATCCCTATTTTCCAAGTGAAGAAATGGAAGCTATTTTTCTAAGCCATGATTCAAATCCAAGCAATCTGGCTCCAGAGCCTGCTGTGTTGACCACTCGCTGCACTGCCAGGCCAGAGCACAAAGCCAGCACTGCTCACCTCCTGCCCCTATCTCTTTTTCACCTCTTCTAGTCCTACTACTAGCATACGGTCAGACCTGGGGCCTCAGTTTCCTCGTCTGCAAAATGGGGAGGAGATAGCTGGGGCTGGACAGTGGTTAAAGATTCCTTCTAACATCATCAGTCATGGTTCCTTCTAGTGAAAGTGATGTCAGGATGAGCCATTGAAAGCCATGAAGTTCCCTAGCCAGTTTGGCTCAGTAGATTGAGCATCGGCCCGAGGCCTGAAGGGTCCCCGGTTCGATTCTGGTCAAGGGCATGTACCTCAATTGCTGGCTCAATCCCCGGCCCTGGTCGGGGCACGTGCAGGAGGCAACTCATCAGTGTGTCTCACATTTATGTTTCTTCCTGTCTGTCTCTCCCTCTCCCTTCCACTCTTTCTAAACATCAATGCAAAATATATTCGGGTGAGGATTAACAACAATAAATAAATAAATAAATAAATAAATAAATAAATAAAGCAAAATAAAACCATGAAGCTCCGTCCACTCTCTAGGGGTGTTTCTTATTTCTTTCTTTCTTTTTTTTTTAAAAGAAGTCATATGCTTATTAAGGTGATCACTTTGTAAGTTTATGCAAATGTCTAATCACTATATTGTATACCAACTGTAATTAAACTTTTTTTTAAAAGTGAGGGGAAAAAAAGAAGTCATGTGGAGGACAGATTGTCTGACCTGAGTTCAAGTCCTGGCCTTGACAATCGCATGGTCTTGTGCAAAGCCCTTCTTCTCACTGGGCCTGTTTTGCTACCTGTCAAATGGGGGCACTGGGATAGGTAATACAGTCCCCTCAGTGCAGAGATGGGAATGGGTGGCTGTCACCTGAGTTTATCAGCCATGAGCACCGAGTGGACAGCACCTACTGTCCCTCCTTTGTAAAGAATCACAGGTTTCCTCTGGGGACAGCCACCTCCTTTACTCTCTGCTACCGCCATCTTGCCACTACATGTAGCTTGAGGGTAAAGTTGCCATATGAAGGAAAATAGAATTGAGGGAAGATGAGAAACTGGCACCTGGCCATCATTTGAGCGCTGATTAAGCTATACCTCAGGCCCTACCTCTAGGTTTCCAGTTAGGTGACCTGAGTCATTCCCCTTTGACTGAAGCCATTTTACATCGGATTTTTCTGTCACTTACATTCTAAAGAGGCCCAATGGGAATGGATCCTGTGCTGTGTCTCTGCCATCTGTCCCTCCAGATCTGCTCTACCTTCTCCCACCCTGCGTGGCTGATGCTTAGGGGTTCCACCCACAGACTCCTGTGACCTCTAGTTTCCATCTGAGTTTGGACAATGGGAGGCCTAGCAAAAGAGCGGAGGGCAAGGGGAAGCTGAGGTCAGAGTATGTATTTCCTCAGCTCTGACCCTGTCCAGTCTCTGCAGGTCAGCTGGTCCCCCAGGCACCCTTTCCACACAGCTATTCTCTCAGCTCCTTCAGGACCCCACTGTTACTAGCCCTGAGGGACTGCACCGTTCCCTGTTGCTCCCCCCAAACCCTGCCGTACCTTTATACCGTCTCTATGTTAACCCCTCCTCAAATACCCAGGGCAGGGAGCCACCTGTGTCCTGCCTATGTGTGTCCTTGAGTGTGTGTGTGTGTGTGTGTGTGTGCACATGTGCATGCATTGTCTCTGTGCCAGTCCCTTGGCAGTTCATCACAAGTTGGGACAGGAAGGGAACTGGTTTTACTGAGTGCCCACTACGTGCCAGACTCCACATGGGACACTTTATACGCATGATTGGGTTTCATCCTTGGAATTCTCTGAAGAAGGTATTTTTAGCCACATTCTACAGACGATAAAACTAAGACCCAGATTGGTAAAGGGACTCACATAAAGTCCCATGGCTGAGTAAGTGGATCCTGGATTTGAAACCCATATACACTGGCTCTAAAACCTGTGCCTCTTAGCCCCTCAAGCCACTGCTTTCCAAAATGCCTAGTTCATTCTCATTCTTAGGTCTCAGCTTAAATGTCACCTTCCCCAGGCAGCGTCCTAAGTGAGACCACTCTGTTTGAAGGAAGTCACCGAATGATGTCTTTTTCATAACATACCATTCTTTTCCTTCAGAACATGATTTTTTTTTTTTTTTTTATGTCTGGCCCACTCATTAGATTCCAAGCTCCGTGAGGGCAGCCAGTCTCCAGATCTGTTTTGTTCACCATTGTCTTCCCGTTGCCAAACACAATTGCCTGCGACGTACAAAGCCCCAGAGAAATGCTGTATCCCTCTTATCTTCTGCCATTTCACTTTCTGCAGTTTCAGTTGCCCATGGTGAATTGTGGCACAAAACTATTAAACGGAAAATTCCAGAAATAAAAAATTCATACATTTTAAATTGTGTGTCCTTCTGAGTAATGTGAGAAAATCTCCCACCTTTCCTCTCCATCCCACCTGGGGCGTAAATCATCCCTTTGTCCAGCATCTCCGTGCTGTTACACAGGCGTGGCCATCCAGGCTATCAGATCAACGTCTCAGTACCCCAGTGCCTGTGTTCAAGTGACCTTATTATACTTCATCATGGGCCCAACACACAAATAGTGATGCTGGCAGTTTTGAAATGACAAAGAGAAGCCGTAAAGTGCTTTCTTTATGCAAAAAGGCAAAGATTCTTGATTTAATAAGGAAAGAAAAAAAATCATACGCTGAGGTTGCCAAGATCTACTGTAAGAATGAATCTTCTATTTGCGAAATTGTAAAGATGAAAATATTCTGACACACCTCAAACTGCAAAAGTTACAGCCCCCATGTATGATAAGGGCTTAGTGGAATGGAAAAGGCGTGAAACTTCATCTTAGGTATGTACATGTAGGAAAAACATGGTACATATAGGCTTTGGTACTCTCTGTGGTTTCAAGCATCCACTGGGGGGACTACTGTATTTGCTAAATGAAAAAGTGTCAAAGGAAAGGAACAAATATTTATTTTAAGTGCCTTCCCAATGCCAGGCGTTTTACATAGATAATCTTATTTCCTCTTCAGCACAGTCTTACGAGGTACACATTGTTATCCTGTTGTGCTGAAGAGGAAACCAAGGTAGAAGAGGGAATGTGACTTTCCCAAAGCCACAGAGCCGACAGCTGGGGTTAAACACAGGTCTCTCTGATGTTAGAGCTGTACTTGTCCCACAGTACCCCTGTGTGTGTCCCCTACATAGGAGCTCACAGTGGGGGGAGAGGAGGAAGGGCCAATCCGTGGAACTCTGACATTCCTGGACAAACAGACACTTCAGGGAGCAAACAGTGTTTGCTGCAGCCACTCACCTGGCACTGGCCACTCCCAGGTCCGGTGGACACACACCCTCCCAGCCCAGGCAGGAAGCATGCTCTTCCGTTGGCCCTCAGGCTCTTGGCTCAGCCCTATCTAGTCTGTGAGCCTCTGCAGAAACCCTGTCCTTGTCTTGCTTGTAGGGCTGCCTGTGTCTAACAAACTGCCCACCCAGTTTGCAAGAGAGGGCTCTGAAGACTGAGCCCTGCATGCAGGCTAGTTCATCAGCTGATGCTAATAAAGAAGGGGTCCTGCTCGGCTGGTGTGGCTCAGTGGTTGAGCATCGACCTATGAACCAGGAGGTCATAGTTCAATTCCTGGCCAGGGTACATGCCGAGTTGTGGGCTCGATCCCTAGTTGAGGCATGCAGAAGGCAGCCGATCAATGATTATCTCTCATCATTGATGTTTCTATCTCTCTTTCTCTCCCTTCCTCTCTGAAATGAATAAAAAAATCTTTTTTTAAAAAAAAAAAAAAAAAAAAAGGACAACAACAACCAGAAGGGGGTCCTCCTGCTAAGTCTCCAGGAGCACACCTCGGGCCAGGCTGGTACCTGGGAGGATCTGTTCCTCCCTCCCTCCTTTGTCTCAGACCCTGCCCGCTTTGCTCTTTAAAATCAATGCCACCCAAATGGGGGGCTTCTGAGATGCTAAGCAGTGTTCTTTGTCTTGGGCTGGGTGATGGTTACCTTACCAGACCAGACCGGGTCCAAATGCTCAGTAGGCGCCAATCAAAAGACAAGTCCAAGATGATTTTAAGAAAAGGAACTTTATTGCAAGCCAGCGAGCAAGGACACACCAGGATCATTCCCAGAGCATGTGTCCCTGAACAAAGTGTCTAAGCCATCTTTATTAGGGGAAGTCATGCATAAACATCGAAGTAGACTTTGTAATTGCATGTATAGGTGGTGACAGTCCGGGGCATTCAAAGTCAGGAAACATGGTTCTACATACATCGGCATGTTCAAGTATGATAACAAGGGTATCCGTTCAGGAGGAGGTCGTCGGAGAGTCCTTCAGCCTGCTCCAGCTGGTTTTAGGCGATTCAGCAGGTTTCCCCCACTGGTCCTGCAAAACAACCCGGGTTTGTTCCTGAAAACCAGTCCTGGTGATCAAATGTCAGAGATTGTGTAGGGATGGATAAACATCTGACCAAGTCGTGGTCTTTCTGTGAGACTTTCAGCAAATTGCAAGTCAGCATTACACAAACCTTATAAACGTTAGAGTGATCTAAGTGGGGTTACAGGTTAACTGAGGCAGAGTTATAAACTGTAAACAAAGGTTCATCTATGCTAGGCTACCTCCTAGGCTACATGTGTAGATGAGGTTACAATTACACAGGTGTGTTTGGGTTACTTTTTGTGAAAATTACTTGGGTGCATTCCTCCGTATATACTTCAATAGAATGTTTACCAAAAAAAAAAAAAAAAATCATGCTACCCACTCATGCCCCAGGGTTCCCTACCTGGCCAGCTAGGAAATGGGTTACTATCTTTCCAGCTGATTTCCCTCAAAACTCCCCAAAACACACCCAGAGATCTTTTCATCTAAGGCAAGCATGTCAAACTTGCAGCGAATATTTTTGCGGCCCAGCCAATATAACAGTATGTAAGAAACATTTTAATAAAAATTTCAAAACTTAATTTTTACAATATCCTGTTACACATAATTATTAATAACGAACTACAACGTTCGCTAGTGACCGGTTACTATAATTGCATTCATTTGCCTTACACGCTTTACGTGCAGGCGCACCGTTTCTCTCCACTAATACTAGCAGCGAATATTTTACCAGCCGATGGATTGCCATGTCATTAGTCTTGGACTGACTTGTGTGGTGTGTGCAACAGGAAATATCTCGCTTTCGGAGAACAAGAAAAAATAGGTTTATTTGAGTTAGGCTTATTAATTTGTGCAGTTATTCAGTGTCTGGTAAGTTAATGTTCAAGAAGAAGTATTAATTTTTATTAAAATGTTCTATTATTTTATGTTAACGATGACTCATTTATTTCAGCCCTTTGTATTCAGCATGTCTCTATTGAAATACACCTACGTTTCTATGAAAATTGAAGCTTTAGTTTTTTTTCAGCCCACATAAACTTAAACCTTGTTTATTTGGCCCGTGTGAGTCTTTGAGTTTGACATGCTTGATCTAAGAGTTCCTGACTGAATCCTGCCCAGCAAAGACAGGGTAGAACAAAGTAACCAACATGGATGGTACCCCACGTCCTGAGTCCTGGTGGGGAGCTCGTCCCTCCCTCTCTGAGATACCTCTGGGCCAGTCTGAGGGAGAGATTGGACCCCCTACCTATTTCCCACCAGACCTTCTTTGTCAGGGCATTGTCAGCCTCTGACTCAGCTCTGAGTGGGGGTTGGTTACTGTTTATCCTCAGGACCTCTGCCAACTCGTCCTCCTCAGGTTCTGGGAGATAAATTAATTGCAGCCCATCAGCTCCTTATTCATTGGCTGCCCAGGCCCAGTGCAGAGGCCCTAGGTCAGGGGTGGGCAACCTTTTTGTGAGTGCGTGCCAAAACCAGCAAAATCTCTGACTCAAAATTCTTCTGCGTGCCAACCCTAATTTTTTGAGAACATGTTACGCCTACTTGATATCTCTTAAGGTGTACGTATGTGAAGAACCTTGAAGAAATAATAAAATTCATTCGAGGTGCAAAAACACAGTATGTGATGATGAAAAATACATTTATTTTTTAATGTATACGTGTGCACTGATAGTCCGACAGAAAACTTTATGACTCCGTTTGATATCATCAGTGGGACTTTTGCTGCTGCATCACTGATGACAGAGATTTTACATCAGGTTTATATTTCGTGACCTTCAGAGATATGCACGAGCTACTACTTTCATCTGGCAGGCTACTCCTATTACGAGACTTAACAAAATTCATCACTGAGAACAAAGATTCACAAGCGTATGTGGATGAAACCAAAACACTGGTCGGATCTAGGAAGGCAGGGAGAGTTAAGGCAGAGGCATAGAAATTGCTCTTCCCCTCTCTCGTCAATCCATGTCTATGGTCTTTAAGATAACTTGTTATGTAAAATTATTTATTTACCTAAGATGCACCTACACTAAATTTATCTGAAAAATAAAAAAGTTGATATTAAGAAAAAATTGTAAATGGAAGATTATAAGAGAGGGTTTCGCATGCCAGCAAAAGTTACTGGCGTGCCATGTTTGGCATGTGTGCCAGGGGTTGCCCACCCCTGCCCTAGGTGATTACTCCACATAGATGTCTTTCCCCACAGCCCCAGGACGCCTGAACCCAAAGGAAGGGAGGGCTCTGCACACCTGGTGGGTGGGGATAGCAGAACTTCCTGCGGCTGAACACAGCCTGAGGGTCAGATCCGGCTCCTGGTAGCAAGCCACAGAGGCCAAAGCCAGCTCCTTAAACAAAAAGGGAATTTTTTAGAAGACTATCAATGTTGATAGAGGAAGGGATCAGGCCCAGTGGCAGGAGCCTGGCAGGGATCACACTGCAGAACTGGCTGGCTTCTGCTGGTCACAGGCAGGCCCCTGGCTACACCAGAGGCAGAGAAAAGAAGGATCTAATCCCTCTGACTTCTGTAATTTGAGCAGGGACTAGGATTTACCCCCAGGCAAGACTTTAATGGGAATTTTCCCCGAGTGGGAGAGCATAGGGCTAGTAGGAAAGGGTTAGGGTTTGGACTTGAAGTTGTCAAAAAACTACTGTTTCTTTAGCACAGGCTTGAACTAAACTGAAGACGACTTTTAGCTCAGGTAGGGGAGAAGTTGTGCCACCCCCCATTACTAATAAAATTTGAATCATACCATTTTAAAGATTAATTTAAACATATATGTAATTATTTTTTTAGAATATATATTTTTAAATATATTTTAATTGATTTCAGAGAGGAAGGTAGAGGGAGAGAGAGAGAGAAACATCAATGATGACAGAAAATCATTGATCGGCTGCCTCCTCCACACCCTCTACTGGGGATTGAGCCTGAAACCCGGGCATGTGCCCTGGACCAGAATCGAACCCGGGACCCTTGAATTGCAGGCCAATTCTCTATCCACTCAGCCAAACCAGCCAGGGCTAAAATATTTTTTATTGATTTCAGAGAGGAAGGGAGAGAGAGAGAGAGAGAGAGAGAAAGAGAGAGAGAGAGAGAGAGAGAGAGAGAAACATCAATGATGAGAGAGAATCATCAATTGGCTGTCTCCTGCATGCCCCCCACCGGGAATTGAACCTAAAACCCGGGCATGTGCACTGTCTGGGAATCGAACCATGACCTCCTGGTTCATGAGTTGATACTCAACCACTGAGCCACACCAGCTGGGCTTTATTTATGTTTGTATCCTGAGAATTTTCCCATATTATTAAGGCTTCTTCTGCACCATTATTGTTAATTGCTGTATAGCATTGTATGTGTGAATATATCATTTCTTCCTCTTTTTCTGTCTTTTTTTCCTACTTTACTATAAATAGCACTGTAACAAGCATCCTTTAGAGCTAAGGAACTGTGCAGGAAGTATCCACCTTTCTGAGGATCTTATTCTTTGTTGCCAAGTAACTAGAAAGGCTGCATCTACCACTGGGCCCACGGGTGTGGCAGCCCGGAGTATGTTTTTGCCCCATGCTCAGCACCTGACCCCTCAATGGGGCTGCCAGGGCTGTAGCCGAGGGCTGAAAACATGAGCCAGCGCATAGCCAGGGCCTGAGAACCACGCCAGACCACCTCCACCACATGTCTTGCTGGCATCTGAAACAAAAGCAGTTTTTCTGCATTGATCCAAAATGCCGGCTAAGGCACTCACCCACTTCCTGCTCCGTGTTCTCTTTTCTTTCTCCCCTCTTCTCTTCCTTCTCACTCCCCTCTCACTTTCCTCCTTTCTCCGCACTGCTCCTTTCTGTGTCTCCCCTTTTACTCTGGTATTCTTTCTCTCTGCCTTTTTTCTGTGTGTCTCTTTGCTTTCTCTTCCTCTGTACTTTCTCGATCACTTTTTATTCCACCACCCCCCCCTCCCCCAAATCCAGCCTTGTTTCTTTCTTTTCTCTTTCTCCTGGTGGCTCTCAGTCTCCACCCACCCACCCACCCACCGCTGGGCAGAGTGAGTCATGATTTCCCCAGGCTAGATAAGGCATTTTCCTGGTAGGGCTGGATTTGAATGAGAGGTGAGTTTGCCTCCCACAAAGGGCAAAAACTAATAGATCACAGTTGGGAGCTGCCTGGTAAACCAGGGTGACTCAGGGCTTCCAGGTTGGGAGATACACAGGCCATCAAGCTTCTCTTAGAGGCTCTGTCACGCTTGGGGGGTCAGCACCCTGTGCCCGATGACTCCCCAGGGCAGCCTTGGCCTGGTGCAGCAGCGTGTGGTCGCCCAGGGAGCAGGCCCCCTCTCTGTGGGCAGACTCAGGGCTGGACGCTGGGGGACCAGGAATGCAGCAGATCCAGGCCCCACAGCCAGCCATGGTTCTCATGGTGTGGTCTCCCATCACAGTGATCAGGTAGGACAGCGGCTCTCAACCTGTGGGTCGCAACCCCTTTGGGGGTCGAACGACCCTTTCACAGGGGTTGCCTAAGACCATTGGAAAACACAAATATAATTACGTACTGTTTTTGGGATTAATTACTATGCTTTAATTATGTTCAATTTGTAACAATGAAATTGGGGGTCACCACAACATGAGGAACTATATTAAAGGGTCGCGGCATTAGAAAGGTTGAGAACTACTGAGGTTGGATGTTTTAAAAATATAAATTTCTGGGCCCCATTTATCTTTATTAAACCAGAGTATCTGGGGATGCGGTTCAGGAACCTTCAGGTTAAAGGCAATTGAGATGCACAGGCATTTGCTGCAGCAGTATTTGTATTATCAAGAAATTGGGAAGACCCTGAATGTCCATTGGTGGAGAATGGTTAAATAAATGATGATGTTTCCTGCTGCAAAATAATATTCAGGCCCTAAAAGAGGGTGAGGCATTCACAGAGACAGAAAGTAGATTAGAGGTTGCCAGGGGTTACTTGTGTGAGTGTGTGTGTGTGTGTGTGTGTGTGTGTGTGTGTATGTATAGGGGTGGAAAGTTATTGTGTGTGTGTGTATGTATGGGGTGGAGAGTTATTGCTTAATGTGTACAGAGTTTCTGTTTGGAATGACGAAAAAGCGTCGACCCATGAACCAGGATGTGACAGTTCCATTTCTGGTTGGTGCACATGCCTGGGTTTCAGGCTCAATCCCCAGTGGGGGGCGTGCAGGAGGCAGCTGATCAATGATTCTCATCATTGATGTTTCTCTCTCTCCCTCTCTCTTCTCCTCTGAAATCAATTAAAAAAATTTTAAAAAAATATAGTGGTGATATTTGCACAATACTAAAATGTAATTAATAACACTACTTTGTATAATTAAGATGGTTAAAATGGCAAGTTTATGCTAAATATAAATATATGCACATGATTTTACAAAAAGAATGAGTAAGAACCATAGGCACTAAATGAAAAGATGCCCAAGTTAGCCTATTAAGTGAAAATGAAAATTGCAGACCAAGATGCTATATAATAAAATGGTAATATGTGCCCTGGCTGGTTTGGCTCAGTGGATAGAGTGTCAGCCTGTGGACTGAGGGGTCCTGGGTTCGATTCTGGCAAGGGCACATGCCCGGGTTGTGGGCTTGATCCCCACTGGGGGGTGTGCAGGAGGAAGCCAATCAATGATTCTCTTTCATCATTGATGTTTCTATCTTTCTCTCCCTCTTCCTTCCTCTCTGAAATCAACAAAAAATATTTTTTTAAAAAAGGGTAATATGCATATCAATCAAACAGCGGACCAACCAGTCGCTATGACGCACACTGACCAGCAGGGGGCAGACACTCAACACAGGAGCTGCCCCCTGGTGGTCAGTGTGCTCCCACAGGAGGAGCACTGCTCAGCCACAAGCCAGGCTGACAGCTGGCAAGCCTCCCCTGCCTCTGTGGCAACACTAAGGATGTCCCTATGGGGAGTGGGCCTAAGCCATCAGTTGGACATCTCCCAAGGGCTCCTGAATTACTAAAGGATGCAGGCTGGGATGAGGGACCCCCCCAAGCCCCCAAGTGCACGAATGTTGTGCACCAGGCCTCTGGTAAGAATTATAAAATTGTGTGTGCGTGCCAGGAAAACACACCACCTTCTTAAAAGTGGCTGTCACTGCAGGTAAGATTGGCAGGAAGATTCCTTGTCCTTCCTGTGATATTTTTTTTAAAAAATATATTTTATTGACTTTTTTTAAAAATATATTTTATTGATTTTTTACAGAGAGGAAGAGAGAGAGATAGAGAGTTAGAAACATCAATGAGAGAGAAACATCGATCAGCTGCCTCCTGCACATCCCCCACTGCGGAAGTGCCCACAACCCAGGTACATGCCCTTGACCGGAATCGAACCCGGGACCCCTCAGTCCGCAGGCCGACGCTCCATCCACTGAGCCAAACCGGTTTCGGCAATTTTATTGACTTTTTACAGAGAGGAAGGAAGAGGGACAGAGAGTTAGAAGCATCGATGAGAGAGTAACATCGATCAGTTGCCTCCTGCACACCCTCTTCTGGGGATGTGCCTGCAACCAAGGTACATGCCCTTGACCAGAATCGAACCTGAGACCTTTCAGTCCGCAGGCCGACGCTCTATCCACTGAGCCAAACCAGTTATGGCCTTCCTGTGATATTAAAAAAAAAAAAAAAAGTGGTGGGATAATGGGTGATTTTGACTTTCTTTTTAGTGTTTTTCATATAAAAATTTTAAATACACTCAACAAAGCAAATACTTTGTCCTCAAAGACCTCAGAATCTGCCGGAAACTGGTCCACTCTTGCTGCTTGACACAGTCGCTGCAGGGAAGAAACATCTGCACAGCTTATGTTTCAAGGGACCTGGTGTATATGACATATGTTTGCTCCCTGTCTTAGCGCTATGTGTTTTAAACAGGACCACCTCCCCGAGAAAGGTTGTTTCCCCAGGTGAGGATTTTTCCCTGGAGTTAACAGGATTAAGGAAGAGAATAAATCAGTGAAACCCCCTAGTGTTACAGAAATACCATGTACTACTTATGAAGAACTTGGACTAAGACTGTTGGCAATAAATTTGGGACTTGTTGGGCCCACATCCCCAGGGATCTGCCCACCAGGGAAAGCACCAAAGCCTATACCCCTGGAGATCCACCTACACAGGGCAGTCCCAGGGAAGGCAAGCAGCGAGGCTGGGAGGACATAACCTTTACTGGGTAGGATAATCTCCTTCAGTTACTTCCTTGTAGCCTATCAGTAGAGCAGCGACCTTGGAATAGCCCTTATAATGGAACACAGAGATTAACCTAGACAAGATTAAAATCAACAGAACTAGATAGAGACAGGATTTTTGGTAAAGGTCAGATAAGAAACTATGGAAATGAAACAAGGAACTGTAGAAGGTTACCCAAAACATACCATGATGTGATTATAGAGGCATGCTTATAGGATCAAATGGTTTAAATACAGGTGTAACAGGACAATAAAGAGAGAGCCTCGCTATGCTGATCAACTGAACACTGCCTCTGTGTCATTCCTTCTTCGCCGACTCCGTCCACACCTTTGGGAACCCCTGGACTTGCTGGGGCAGGACCCCAACAAGAATCAAGTGAGGAGATACATATGGATCAAGGTAATTACAACAGAACACTAAGGCCTGTGGAGGCACAGAGGAGAGGACGTCAGGTCAGGCTTCCTGGAGGAAGTGACATTCTGACTCTGGTCTTCAAAGTCCAGAAGGAGTTGGCCAAGTGGGAAAGCAAAGCTAGAACTCTTCCAGTGGAGGGAGAGGAAACGTGTGAGAGACAGTGGGAGGCTCCAGAAGAGTCTGTTGAGGCCCAGGTGCTGAACTACAGTGTGCCAACTGTTGTGCCCAGATTTCATGATTCCCAAGAACCCACAGGGAGCCAGCGAGTCCGATGCAAAAGCAAAGAGTCATTCATTTCAAACCTAGGTTTGGCTCCCCTGCCACACTCACCGATGCAACGGTAAGCTCCAGTGGCCGAGAGAGAGAAAACTCTGTGTGGAGAGAGGTTTTATAGGGGTTTGGGGTAAGGGGAGGAGAAAGGACTGTGGGCCCTGCCGATTGGCCAGGCGCGAGTCGGTGTCTCATTACACAGGATGTGGTCATAGTGATGGCGTGCACTTCCCTTGACTATCTTCCAGGAAGAAGCTTGCTGAGCACATGGCCAAGTTAAGATGGAGGGCATAGCCCTTACCCTGGGGCAAGGTGGAGGGCGTAGTCCTCGCCCTTTCACCAACCAGAGCGGCTGGAGAGTCTCACGCAGGGGAGTGGCAGGGGAGTGACGTCAGATTTGTGTTTTGGGTAGATCCTCTGGCGAGGTCTCTTCTGGGTTGAGGTTAGAGACACTGCTCTCAGGCAAAGGTTGGAAACTAATTTTATATATATATATATACACTAGTATAGCCCGGTGCACAAATATTTGTGCGCTCGGGGGTGAGGGTGAGGAGTGGGGCCAGACCCCTCAGCCCGACCTGCACCCTCTGTCATGTTCCCGGACCCCGGCCACTCCTGGCCTAGGCACAGGCCTACAGGCTTGGGGCGGCCTGGCTCCCAAGGCTTCATTTTATCAAGAGAACAAATTCGGCGTTAGTTACAGCCCTCACCGAACCCAGTACACTGCATCTGTGCATACAACTGCCTCATTCATGTGCCTGCTTTGCCCTACTGAATTTCTAACATCTTGAGGACATAGCTCCGTCTTATCCTGCTTCAACTTCAGTGCCTGCCCTGGTGCCAGGGACCTGAGAGGGTTTACTGAGTGAGTGAGTGAGTGAGTGAGTGAGTGAGCGAGTGAGTAAGTGAATGAGCAAACAGCTACAGGGCAGGAACTTCTGCTGCGTTGCCATAACAACATGGCAGAAGCTCCCACCCCACTCCCGACTCCCTG